AGTAAGGCTAAGGAACTGTATGCTCCCGATCCAACTTACCTACAGATTCTTAAAGATACAGTTAGGAACTTATCTTGTTCATAACCTGGGGACTGCCTGTATAGTCTTAAATGTAATAAAGCCTGTTTTGCATAGTACTTGCCTTTTTCTTTTCTTCTTCCTTTTTCTTTACATTATAGATAACTTGAAAAAGGTCTTTAAGATCAACCACTAATGGCTCAGCCTGAAGCAACAGAAAACATTTCATTAATAATTTAATCATATTTTCTTCCCTTTGTTCCCCTCATCACCAATTAGGATTGGTTTCTGTCCTTCTCATAAAACTACTCAGGGCCCTCCCACCACCATCATACATAAACAGCAAGGTTAATAATGTTTCAACAAAAGAAGAAGTATCATAATCCTTTTCCAAGTCCCTTCCAGGTTTCTAGGAATAATTTGATATTGTTCTAAAAGTAGCATTGACCTCATAAGAAAGGCAATTCTCAAAATCCTTGTATCGCTTACTATGTGGGTATAAATAACATTTTGGCCAATTCTTTGGACCATGGTTTAATCATTCCACATTTGATTGTTTTCATCAAGGCTTCCAGTAGATTGACAGACACTCCTGTGCCCAACAGGGGACACAAACCAGCACCTGTTGCCATGGTGTGACCATATAGGGTTTCCAAGGCTGCATTTTTTATGGAAGCAGACAGCCATATCTTTCTCCTGGAGAGCAGTTGGTGGGTTTGAACCACTAACCTTTCAGTTAGCAGTCAAGTGCTTGACCATTGCACCACCATGGCTCCTTCCAACAGGGGACAAGTTCCTATGCATACTTTCAAGATTTAGAGCTTACCTGTTGTCCTGTTTTTATGGCAAAAAACTGGTGCTGGCCTTCTCCTCCACATACATAACCAAATGCACGGTTGTCTGTCACATCACGGGCAATGAAAGAAATCTTATTTACTGGATGTTCATGCTCTATTACCTGAAAAAGGAAGATAAATAAAGATGTACTCAGAAAACTAGGGTTCATAGGCTAGTACAACTAAGCATTAGACATGAAGACACGAAGAGGCAAAAACATTTGATGAAAGAATGTTTAGCCTCTGGCTGAAGCCTAGAGCCATATTTACCTTGTTAGGAAAGGCTTCAAATGGAAGAAGAGTAGAGAAAAAAAAAAAAACTGGGAAGAATACTCACTCTTAATATATTGACATTTGATTCTCCTTATCCCAAAGATATGATGCTATGTAGCAAGGAAGGACTGAGGATTAGGAGACCAAGAATTTCTAATGCCCCTAAAGCAACCCAAGTAAGTCTACTTACCCAACTCAAAGACAAACATAAGTGAGCAGGATGACTAAGCTAGCAGTGTCCTCAAAGATCCTTTGATGGTGGCTCAGGGTAGATAAGGAACTATCCTAAGTATTGCTGGAACATTTATCCCTAATGAATTCCTGGAAGTAAGTTGCCAAATGCTGTCATCAGGTATTTCTCAACCTCACGTAGACACTGGGTGCCATTATTCAGGAGTTCCATGTGGTGAGGAGTTTATGGATTTAGTAGTGCCTTTCCTACTATTTCTCCCCCTTCTCTTGCTCCTTTCTGGTTAGCAGTCAAATACCTTAGGAACTATACCACCAGAACTCCTTTTACATAGGTTGTTGTTGTTATGTGCCTTCGAGTCGGCCCCAACTCATAGCGACCCCTCCTTGGGTTTTCAAGGCAGTATCACTA